ATGATGAAAGTCCTTAGCTTCTTGTTGCCCTGTTTGCCTTCTTCTTCATCCAGGCTCACGTTACTTCCCTTTTCCAGCCTGAGACTAGACTCTACTGACGTTGTTGAGTCTGTGTCAGTGAATGCATCCGGGGAGCCCTTCCTTGCCTCATCCGGTCACCTCCTTGCTCCTATGTAGACACTGCCTCTTTCGATCGTTGATCCACAGTTTGTAAATGTAGTCTAGTCTCCCATGTTCTCCTAACTCTCTTTTTTCATCCTCGAATCTTCCAAGGGCAGTCTTCCACAGTTTCCCCAACAGCTTAACCCACCCTCACTGCCTGCTGTGCCCCTCCCCACGTATTTCTAGCAGACACAGGTGGGTCTTTGTCCAAGGCTGTGGATTTGACAAATGATTTGTCAAATGATTTTCAACCTGTTTGGAGCATTTGACAGTGTCAGTTCTCCTGTTCTCTTCACCCCTCTGGGCAATTCCTGCCTTGATTCCAACACCCCAACTTCATTCTGTATTCCTTATTTCTGCATCCTTTCCTTGACTCTCCTGTGAGCTGGCTTCCCTTGATTGCATGTGCATTCCCTAGGGTCCATCTGTACCTTGCTGTGATCCTCACACTTTCTTTTTGGCATGTCTCATTTGCCTTTAAGGTTATAAGTACCATCTCTGTGTTGATGATTCTCCAGTGTGCTTCTTCCAGTGAGACCCCTTCCTTGAACTGCAGGGTGTATCCTACCATCCACTAAGTCATTTCCACTTGGGCATTCCACCTGTGCGCCAAATTTGATGTCTCTAAAAATGTCATCACCCTGCCTAAATGGTTTTGTCTTCCTGTGTTATGTTTCTCAGCTAGTGATACCACTGTCCCTGTCGTCATCTGGTTAGAAATTGGGAGTTATATTTGATTCTTCCTCTCGCTGGGTTTAACTCATCTGACCTTTCACAACTTGCTCATCCTAGCCTTCTCTACCACCTGTGGTGTTGTTGCTTGAGTTTGAGCAGGAGCTGCTAATGTTCCCTCCTTTGTCCTTTTGCCTTCATGCCCATCCTCCACGTGTCTGACACCAGGCCTGATCTCATACCTCCCCTGTTGACAGTCTTTCTGTAGCTCCTTTCATCAACAACAGGAGTTTGGATTTCATAGATCTCTTGGGGGGGAAAAAAAGTTGGGAGGGCTACTGTTGTGTTGCCAACTTCTAATTTTTCTAAATAAGAATGTTAGAAGAATAAGGAGCTCGCTATCGACCATCATTTTACAGAAAAGGACATTTAATGTTAAAAGAGGCATAATTTAGAAGACGACTAGGCCATGTGTGGTGGTCAAGTGTGCAGTCTGTGGGTCGGGTAGAGGCCCAGCTACTTACCTTGTTGGGTCCTATGGGTGCCTTAATGAGCTTCTGTCAAATGGGAAGTACATTTAAGAGTGCACCTCACAGCATTGTTTTGTGGATTAAATGAAGCGACGCCTGCCGAGAGCAGTGTGGCATACAGTCTAGAGGAAATCAGTCACAGGACCTTGCAGCCCCAGCTGGATGCAGACATTTCTGCAGGAGGGAGCCCGAGCCTGCCCTCCTTTCCATCAGAACCTCTGGGGACCCTTGCTCACAACATGTGATGGAACTTTTCTTTGTTTACAGTTAACGCTTTAAATTCAAATCTGTTGAAGTCTTTGGTATGTCTGCATAACAGTTTCCATGTGCAGAGGTCTCGTTTAGCATTGTGTGTGATTAATTGCATTTTAACATCCTTTTCAAGCTTGATGGCGCTAATGGTAAAGAACCTGCCTGCCAATGCAGGACACGAAAGAGATGTGGGTTCGATCCTTTGGTCAGGAAGATCCTGTAGAGGAGAGCATGTCATCCACTCCAGTGTTCTTGCCTGGAGAAGCCCATGGACAGAGAAGCCTGGTGGGCTATGGTCCATAGGATTGCAAAGAGTTGGACATGACTGAAGCGACCTAGCACACACGCATGTACAAGATATTGATTCATGTCATAACTTTTCAAGAATCTCAAGGCATAGCCACTGGTAGTTACCTATGATTATAGTGTTTAAATGTTTTCCTTACTCTTGACTCTTCTAGAAACTACTAGGCTTCAGGGTGTGTTCAGTGATGCAATGGTTAGAGGGCTTATTACAACAAACTGCCTTAGCCCCCTCACATAACTCTTTTCATTGGTCTGGGGGCGCCAAGGCTACACTCAGTTGGATCTCAGGGCTATTCTTTGAGAATCACAGAGGATGCAGAAACCTTTTTACCTCCTCAGCTGGGCCATGATTTTTCCTCCAGGCTGTCCTCTGAGGTCTCTTTTGGAGTTTGGTCAGCATTTTTTTCTCCAATAAGAGTGTGAGCTTCTTGAAGTCGAGTGCTGGGGAGCTGCTCCATATTCTTGTTTCTAGAATCATGCCTTACTCACAAGTGAACATTGATCAAATCAGGTTTCTAGTTTTCTTCCTGAAAATTGCCAAAATTTGGCAAAATTGCCAAAATCATTTCCATGTTGCTATTTTCCAAATGGCAGTGAAGTGGGTCAGGTTCTTCTGCTTCAGCAATGATATTATGTGCAAGTTGTGTTCATACTGAGTTTCATTTAAAAAGCAGTTAAGAGATAGTTTGGGAGCAGTAGCACCTACAGTCTCAGAGGAAGATGTGGCTGCTCACCCTGAGCTAGATTTGGAAGGCTGGATTGGGAATGAAGCTGGGGAAACGAGGAGGGGGTGAGGTGTGAGGGAAGAGTCTGGGCCATGGGAAATTATAAAGGATATAGTTGATGGTGATGTTAAATTAGCCACTCAGAAGGATTCAGGGGCCCTCTAATGACAGGATCTGTTTACTTCAAAGATTTTATGGCCTTAGTGTTGTGGAAGGCAAGAGTAGAGAAGACAAGGAGATCCACAGGAGCCAAAGCGACAGACTGACCTTTTCAAAATTTGAGGTGGGATGGGGCAGTGTGTGGCTGCCCAGTCTGTTGTGCATCCCCTGGGAGAGGCTGCCTGCACCACCCCGTTAGCTCTCAACTCCTGGAGAAAAGCCCTTTTCATATTGTGGACATTTTTATTTCTAATAAACTCTTGTTCTCACCATGTTGTCATTTGTTCTCTATATAAACTCTTTCTGCAATGGCTGGCTTTTCCAGTACTCTGTGCAGCATAATGAGGTCACCATAGCCTTTCAGACTGCCGAGGGGTGTTCTGAGGCCAACTAGCCTCGAACTGTAGTCAGAGGCAGAAGGTTGAGGCCCAGAGAAGGGGTGTCCAGGGGCCTCAAGTCTGGTGGCCATTGCAGGCTGTTCCCTTCCCTGAAGTGTGTGCTCACTGGGAGTGAAATGTTGATGGTAGGAGGGCTCAGGGTTTCTCCTCTGGCTTCTCATTCCTGGGGCCGCCAGCAGCTGGCCCTCCTCCCTGCCCTGCTGTGGGGCTGTTAAGCACCCCGAAAGACAGAGAGTGGACAAAGCTTCCATTTCTCCCAGACTGACTGGACTGTGCTGTTCCAGGGACCTCTTCACCGTGGAGCATGTGTATGTCAATAGTTTTTCATTCTATAGAGGGGGAATTGGGTTTCTAGGAATGTACTTGTGGTCTGTAGCCATGGACATCTTACTAGTTCCCTGGAGTTCATTATGATGGGATTGACCTTTATCAAACACTGACCAGAACAAGGAGACAAACCCTCTAGGAGACAGAGCAGCTAACATTTTTCAAACATGGAAAACATTGTTTTAAAAAAAAGATTGCTTTTCCAAAACGAAATTGAATATACTCTTGTGTGTTTGAAAATTTGTGTGATACTGTAATAGTGTAAATATCTTATTTTTCCAGAGGTTCTTCCATTCTGTTTATGTTGAGTTTCTCTGATTTTCTTCTTTTGTTTTTTCTTTCATTTTTTCCTCTATTATTTATGTTTGGTGTCTTAAAACAACACAAAGTTAATAATCTTACAGTTATAGAGATCACAACCAAAGTGGGTCTCACTGGGCTAAAAGCAAGATGTGAGAGGGCCATGTTTCTTCTGGAGGCTCCAGGGAGAGTGTTTCCTGCCTTTTTAGCTTCTGTAGGTGCTGTATTCTGTGGCTCATGGCCTGTCTTCCATCATCAAAGCTGTCAATGGCCAATAGGGTCCTGCGCTCCCCCATGTATGAAACCTGCTCCTCTGCCTTCCTTTCTATGTTAGAGGATCTGTGATGACATTGGACCCATCTGCATCATCCAGGGTAACAGCCTGGCCTGAGGTTAGCAGTCTGCCCACCTCTTCCCTCCTGCTGTGTAATGTACCACATTTATAGGTGTGGTGGGCAGGAGTGCACAGCTCTGAAACCACATTGGCCTTTAGAAGTTTTTGCCATCTTATTTATCTTGATCTTTGTGACTAAACAGGACATAAAACATCATTTTATATAATCATTAAATTAAAAATTTTATAAACAAAGTTTGTATGTGATTCATCTTCGTTTCAAAGAATATGGGCATACCTTAATTTTGCTAAATCAAGGTATCTTTCTTTCTTCACGGGTTTTTTTTTTTTTTTTTTTTAGTTTTCGTGAAAAGTCCAAAAGAAACCTTTTTTTAAAAAAAATTCCTTACTTACCATTTCCTGGTGTCAAGTGTAAAATATTCCTACACTTTATTCCGTGTGTCTTTCACCAGATGTGTCCCTCAGCACTCAGGGATACTGTTTTCCATCCATTCCGAGCTGACCTTGGCTCTTTTAGTGAACTCGGGAGCTTGGGGCTGCATAGCCTTCTGCTGTGCTCACATGAGCAGGCTGCAGACATCTCTGAAGTGATGGAAGGCTGTCAGATGCTTTTTAACATAGTCAGGTTGAAGCCGCTGAGTTGTATTTCAAAAATTGAAAGGGAGATCCAGGGCTTAACCCTTAGACTTTCAAAGTCTTAGGGACAAGAACTTACAAATTGATAATAAGCAGGCCCTTCTAAGGAAAGCATTACCTGTAGTTTCTGGGCCCTGTGTTTGGAATTAGTGTATTGACATATGTGCTTTTTCCTTAGGTCCGGGCCCACCAGCTGGTCTTGCCACCGTGCGATGTGGTGATCAAGGCTGTGGCTGACTATGTCCGCAACATCCAGGATACCTCGGACTTGGATGCCATAGCTAAAGATGTTTTCCAGCATTCTCAGGTAGAAATGCAAGCTCTTGGGTAGTGCTTCGTGCTCTGGTGTGTGCTGAATTTGGAAGGGTCTTGAGAGGCACACACCAGCCATGCCCAGGAGTGCTTCCAGCTGTCAGGCCTCGGTGTCCGCTAGGAGGGCTGGCCCCTCACCTAGCTGCTTCTCCAGCCTCCCCTCCGGCCTGCACAGAGGCAGACAAATAGTAAGGCCTCTGCTGCTCCTAGATCCTCCATCGTAATTCAGTGGGATTTCTACTAAGACAGACGGATCAAATGGCAGACAGAACTGTGGATCTGGTTTGTCCATCCCTCCAGGTGATGGTCAGGGATTTCTTCTTCCTTCCTTGAAAAGTAAGAAATTCAAGGGAGGTTGGACTTTGATAGAAGCGATGAAGTTTGTGTGACTTCCTGTTTGGTCTCTGAAGAGCTAATATTGTACCTCCACTTTGCTAGAGATGGGAAGTAAAACCTTTGCAGGTAGCGTCAGAGACCTTGCCAAGGAAAAGTTGGAGGACTGCATCCCAGAACTCAGGTCTCCTGACTGCCATGTCAGACTCTGATAAGTACAGTGTTCTAAGAGAATTAATGTTTGATTTGTTTCTTTAATGATGATCTGTTGATTTTCCTTAAAGGTTTTAATGTTTATTCTAAACTCTCCTCTAGCTTTAAAGGCTACAGACTTATACATGTGTTGAATTATATTAATATACACATGACCAGTGGCATACTAATTTACAAAGGTTTTCCTGCGTTTGTTTCAGTCTAGAACAGATGACAAAGTTATTCGATTTAAGAGAGCAATTGGCTATTATTCAGCGACTAGCAAGCCTATGGCATTTCACCCACCACATTACCTAGGTAAGTAATTCGAGGCCTCTGTGATGCTAACCATGCAGTAATCAAAGAGTTTTAAATATTCAGCCAATAATCTTGTGAGTTTATTGTTTTGAAATAAGATTTCTATCGTTATACAAATAAGTACTAGCAGAACTTCCTGGGCAGACTCAGTAGTAATTCCTGGAAGTGCTGAAAAGCAAGAGAAAACTTTTGAGACTTAAAAGACTGAAAGAGAAAAGGAGGCAGCCATAAGGACCAAGGCTAGCAGTAATGGTGATGCGTAAATCTGTGTCTGTGAGGTGTGGTCTTATAGAGTGCACCAGGGACACAGAAGACCCACCCCATCTTTAGGTGCCTTCAGCGCAGTGGATTGATGTCTCCTCTTTGTTGCCTTTTTGGGCAAAAGATCAGATTTCTCTCAGAGAGTTGAAATTGGGGAATTAAAAACAATTGTAAACTGCCTGAAGGCTGCTTGATAGTAAATATCTCATGGGAGGTTGTAAAGCACTAACCCTAAGTGCCAACCTCCTTCCTAAGTCAGATTGCATTTTTTAGGTTCCAGATCAGTAAAGCTGTGAGAAATTATCCTGCCAACTGTTGCTGCAGTTGTGCTTATTTTATATCATTTTATATCAATGAGACTTTTAACTGATTTCATATTAACCCTGTGGTTGAAAATGTTCCTGACAGTGTCCTTTGCATGATAGTATGCACTCATCCATTTAAGCACAGTGCGACTGTGCGGTGTATGTGGTTGGTGGGGGCGGGGGGGACGACACAGATACAGGTAAGTGCTGGCTTTTGATGGCAGTCTCCGTGCATGGGTAGCAACAAGTGCATATGGATTGTGACTATGGACAAGTGAATATGCTGTGTGATCAAGGAGGGTATAGGCCATTTCATCTGATGACCCAGTTCCCCATCATGGGATACCCACCCCCCTGTCCCTAGCCGTTTCTTTTCTTCTCAGCAGTCAGAGTAGTGTTTAAAAATGTCAGTCAGCCTATTCCGTTCCTCTCATGCTTGTAACGAACTCCCAGCTACATACCTGCTTCCTGCCCCCACATCAAGCTCCTTCTCTTGCTGGCCTCTGCCCCTTATCCTCCAGGCCCTGCCTTCTTTCCTGGGTGAAATGTACCACACTGGCTCCTGCTGTGGGGTCTCTCTCGGCACTGGCTGTGGACCTGGAGCTCTCTCCCTGACTTCCTGGGCCCAGGGTATTCCCATTTCTGTTGTCCAGGCTTCACTGTCACCTTTCTTGGCTCCACTAGGCCATCCTGTCAAGTGATTTTCTGCACATCTCCTCAAACACGCCCTCCCAACCCCTAAGAATGTCAGGGGTCCAGGGATGGACAACCCCAGGATCTCAGCTGCCACCTTCATCCTTTACAAGAGTGGGGAGATATTTGCCCAAATGACTTAATCCATGAAGAGCTGCTGAATCAGGAAAGTGAAATGATTAGATGTAACTTAAGGTTACTCTTGGAAAGGCAGACAGGGAGCGCTGGGTGGGGGAACTCGATACCACGTGTCGCTTCAGTGAAGGTGAGATGTAACAGGGGCAGGTTGCGGTGGCTGCGTTTTACTGCTGGCACGGGAATAGATGCTGTTGAGACAGGTGAGTGGCCGGGGTACTGATGCCAGGTTGTGGACATCTCTTTTCCATTGCCTCCTGGCTTCGTTTTTCCTGTTTTATTATTAAAATGGGATACTTACGTTAATATTAAAAGGGCAAATATAGGTAAAGTGCTTTAATGAGTGCTTGTTACAAGCAGATACTGTCATTTTTATTCTTGTAGGAAGGATGTCTGGCAAAAGCTCTGAATGTTGAATGATCAGATAGCCTGAAAGAAGTTAACACAAAGACGTACTTGGTGCCTCATAGATCTGTAGTGATGTTCTAGTCCTCATATGACAGTTGTACTTTAAACATTCATTATAATATACTTGGGACCGGGCTTCCCAGGTGGCTCATTTTGGTAAAGAATCTGCCCCCAATGCAAGAGATATAGGAAACTCAGATTTGACCCTGGGTTGGAAATATCCCCTGGAGGAGGAAATGGCAACCCACTCCAGTATTCTTGCCTGGAGAATCCAACGGATAGAGGAGGCTGGCGGGCTACAGTCCATGGGGTTATGCAGAATTGGATACAACTGAAGTGACTGAGCATGCACGTGTAGTTGGGATTAGAGCATTTATTAGAGAAGGAAAATAGGTGGGAGAAGGAGAGAGACAGGATAGATTGACTTACTATTTGGCATTTACCTGAGCTGATAACAGTTTGAAAGATGTTCTGAAGAGGAAGATGAGTTTTAAATTAGGTTTAAATTTGAGCTTCTTAAAAATATTTACTGTTCTATAAAGTGCTTTCTTGTTCTTATTAAATCATCAAAGGACATTATGGGGTAAGTATTTTATAAAAGAAGTTAATACTCTTAAAATTCTCTTTCACTTTCACTCTGGTTTATGAAGAACAGTGGTGTAATTGGTAAAGAACTGGAGATATTTAGAGTGATGTTCTCAAGCAGGTTAATGTAGGTGATAACCACCTACAACATCCTTCTATAAAGCATTTCCTTTTGCTTCTGACTATTGCAGCAATCTTAACTGTACAGCAAGGGACTTAACAAAGCAGAGGCACAGATAGTTTGGGGCAGTGTAGAGTTCAGTGTGTGACCCTGTCCTGACCTTGAGAGAGGGTGAGGCAAGATTGGGAAGGAAGGTTTATTTCAAGCAGAACCAGCAGAATCAGATACTGTAAAAATCACTCCTATTTTTTTTTTTCTGGTTAAGTATAAAGAAACAAAAGTATCTGGAAATAGTGCTCACTGATTTTTGTCTACATGTGCTGTTGTTGTTGTTTAATCACTGACTCTTTGCAACCCCATGGTCTGTAGCACGCCAGGCCTCCCTGTTCTTCACCATCTCCTGAAGTTTACCTAAGTTCATGTCCATTGCATCGGTGATAGCATTCAGCTGTCTCATCCTCTGATGCCTTCTCTTCCTTCTGCCCTCAATCTTTCCCAGCATCAGGAACTTTTCCAGTGAGTCGGCTGTTTGTACCAGGTGGCCAGACTCCTAGAGCTTCAGCTTCAGCATCAGTCCTTCGAATGAGTTTTCAGGGTTGATTTCCCTTAAGATTGAGTGGTTTGATCTCTTTGCTGTCCAGGAGACTCTCAAGCGTCTTCTCCAGGACCACAGTTTGAAGGCATCAATTCTTTGGTGCTCTTCCTTCTTTATGGTCCAGCTCTCACAATCATACATGACCACTGGAAAGACCATAATCTTGACTGTATGGAACTGTGTCGGCAAAGTGATGTCCTTGCTTTCAACACACTGTCTAGGTTTGTCATAGCTTTCCTGCCAAGAAGTGGTCATCTTCTGGTTTCATGGCTGCAGTCACCATCTGCAGTGATTTTAGAGCCCACAAACAGGAAATCTGTCACTACTTTGACCTTTTACCCTTCTATTTGCCATGAAGTAATGGGGCCGGGATCTTAGTTTTTTAAAAATTTAGTTTTAAGCTGGCTTTTTCACTCTCCTCCTCCTTCTTCACAGGAGAGTCTTTAGTTCCATTTCGCTTTCTGTCGTTAGAGTGGTGTCATCCGCATATCTGAGGTTGTTGGTGTTTCTCCTGCCTATCTTGATTCCAGCTTGTAACTCATACAGCCCGGCATTTCTCATGATGTGCTCAGCGTATAGGTTAAATAAGCAGAGTGACAGCAAGCAGCCCTGTCGTACTCCTTTCTCAACCATGAACCAATCAGTTTGTTCCGTACAGAATTTTAACTTGCTTCTTGACCCACATACAGGTTTCTCAGGAGACAGGTAAGATGGTCTGGTATTCCCATCTCTTTAAGAGTTTTCCAGTTTGTTATGATCTACACAGTCAAAGGCTTTAGGTAGATGCTTTTCTGGTGATCCCTTGCTTTTTCTGTGATACAGCGGATGTTGACAATTTGATCTCTGGTTCCTCTGTCTTTTTTAAATCCAGCTTGGACATCTGAAAGTTCATTGTTCGTGTAATGCTAAAGCCTAGCATGCAAGATTTTAAGCATGACCTCACTATCATGGGACTTCCCTGGTGGCTTAACTGGTAAAGAATCCACCTGCAGTGCAGGAGACCTGGGTTGGAAAGATCCCCTGGAGAAGGGAAAGGCTACCCACCCCAGAATTTCATGAACTGTATAGTTCATGGGGTTGCAAAGAGTCGAACAGGACTGAGTGACTTTCACTTTCACTTTACTAGCATGGGAGATGAGTGCAGTTTGAACATTAGTACTACGCTTCTTGGGAATTGGGATGAGGATTGACCTTTTCCAGTCCTGTGGTCACTGCTGGGTCTTCCAGATTTGCTGACATATCGAGTGCAACATGTTGATAGCATCATCCTTCAGGGTGTTGAACAGCTCTACTGGAATTCCATCACATCCATTAGCTTTATTGACAGCAGTGCTTCCTAAGACCCACTTAACTTCACGCTCCAGAATGTCTGGCTGTGGGTGACAGACCACACCATCATAGTTATTCAGTTCATTAAGATCTTTTTTTTGTACAGTTCTTCCATGTATTCCTTTCGTCTCTTCTTGATCTCTTCAGTATCTACTAGGTCTCTACCATTTCTGTCCTTTATTGTGCCCATCTTTGGGCGAAATATTCCCTTGATATTTCCAGTTTTCCTGAAGAGATTTCTCATCTTTTCTCTTCTGTTATTTTCCTCTATTTTTATGCACTATTCATTGAAGAAGGCCTTCTTGTCTCTCCTTGCTATTCTTTGGAACTCTGCGTTTAGGTGGATGTACCTTTCCCTTTCTCCCTTGCTTTTCACTTCTGTCTTCAGCTATTTGTAAAGCCTCCTCAGAAGGCAAAAGCCATTTTGCCTTCTTGCTTTTCTTTTTCCTTGCAGGGATCCTCTAAATGAAGAGTGATGACTGAAATGGCAATCAGAAGCCTTGAAGAGTTAGGGAAATGCTTTCTTGAGTTAGGGAAATACTTTCTTGGCATGCCACATGAGCACCTA